TCGTGCTCAAAGTTTATGCTTGTATGGCGCTTTTGCTGTTAGACGTGCGGCGTAACTGCACTATGACGATGTTGATGGTCATGGTTCTTATCATTTGGTAATTGAAGTGAATAGCTGCTCAAAAAGTTGCTCTGGATGTGATAAGCAAACCTTGCACTTGGGTTTCTTCTCAGATAACTTCCCCTTTCATTGGTAGGGTGCATGTGCTCTTTACGGCGACTCTCTTTAGTTTCAGCCATTGCGATGTCCTCAGTCCAAGTGTATGAGCTTCCCAGTCATGATAAAGACTGGTCCCCTAAATACCCTAAGGCTAAGCCCTGTTACAACAAACAAGTGCCGAAACATGGCATATACATTTTGAATTTACCGCGTACAAACTACAACCAATTCCAAATTGCCATGCCCACCGGACCGCCTACTAGCACAGGTATATATACCGCCCCCTTCTGGGAGGTATAAAGAGCGCGCTCCGGGCGGCAGAGGCAGTCTTCCACTTCGGTGTCACCTTTAGTTTAGCCTCTTTCAACTCTTCTCTCTTCCTTCTGGGGCTCTGCCCCTCTCGTCAAGCGATTACGGTCGCACACCATCTACCCTAACCTTTACAACTACGACACGACGATTCTATGCCAGTCGGACTCGCCACTCGTTAAGACGACAAGATGACTTACACTCGGACACATAGCCTAAGGACAACAATACGAGATGTAGTAATGTACAACGATAACAACTTCTATCCTCTCCTGTCTCTTCTCCATTGTGTGTTTGATCATAGTTGCTTTGTAATTAATAAATGATTTATTAAACACCTTGTAAACTACCACTGAATCAAAACATGGTGCATCGGCCGGGAATCGAACCCGGGCCGCCCGCGTGGCAGGCGAGCATTCTACCACTGAACCACGATGCAACAACAATGTTACGATTAATCACGATTCTAGCTACCACGACTTCAATAGTGTCTTGCTGCCAGCAAACTATGCTAATACCATCAACTATACCACAGTGCGGCCCACAGGAAAAGAACTGCCACAATCAAACCACGCTCATCACACAACTTAACCAAATGCAACCTGAGGTTTGCATTCAGCTAACACACGGCAAGCGACAAGTACATATTATGCGCATAACCTTAAAAGCTTTGACCCTCAGATGTCGCAAAGAAACGCTCTACTACACGCGAAATACCGTCACAAAAGTTAAATATCAGAAACGATGTCCCGGTATGGGCACATGTAAAGACCTCAAATGCGCGAAAATCAACTACAATACCCATGTCGAAGAACTCATGACGCCAACAACTATACCGGCATTACCTACTGCTCCGAGTCTTGCGGTTGGCTCGGATGCTCATGCGGCTATCCATCATCCGGATGTCTTTTTTATCGCATATACCACTTACCAGTTGATGACACTATCTACGAAGTTTTCCAATGTCCGACATGGTTCGAAACAATCTCGCTCACCATACAAATAAATGGGGCCAAACAGAGACTCCAAACCTTCGAATTAACACCGTACACTAACAAGCGCGTAAGCAACACATCCTTCGAAATTACAGCCTTCTCATTTAGCCCAATATCAATCTTACACCAGCGATTTATTACTAACAATCAAACAACGGCATACATCCGCCCAGATACAGAATTTAGCTACGCATGTAGCTCTCCTTCACAAGAACAACAAACGACTAACAACACCCAGAATTGCATCATCAAGGACACATGCAAATGTACTCCCGCCGAAAACTCGGTCAATTGTTATTGCACTAACAACAACATTTCACAAATGACGCAACTACCGAACACCTTGCCTCTACCACTACCAAATGGCCTAGTAACAACAGAAGGAGTTAACAACATACCCACCATAAGAACACACGCAATATCAGTTGAACTACTACTCCTACTAGACAACAACACAAAAAATATTGCACAAGAGATAGAAAATTTCCAGTGCCACATTCTTCCCCAACAACTACATGGTTGCTATAACTGCGCCAAAGGCTCGGTAGCCACAATCTTCTGTCAATCTGACACTGTTGAGTCGACAGCACAGGTTACCTGTGGAATGCAACAATTCACATTGACTTGTACAAGATCTGGAACATACAACTATGTGCTTTTATTTTTCAACAAAGCCCGAATACAAGAGACTTGTAAAGCTCAATGTAGCTCACACATAACAATTTTCGAAATCAAAGGTACACTCAATTACATAAATGGGATAAAACCCCTATGGAATTACATCCACCTATGGGACAATAACACAGACACAAACACCTCCTCATTTACAATTGATCTCTCTCTTCCTGATTTCTCTCATTTCTTGGAAACATGCAAACAATTCTTCCTCTTCTCTCTGACCGTCTTCCTAGCCCTCATTAGCGCTCTCATGCTCAGTCGTTCTCTCCTTTGCTCGCAAAACCCACCAACAAAAACAAGAAAATCTTCTAGTCACCTCATCATCACAATCTTTCCCCCTCTACGCATAATCCTCTTTCTCTTCACTATCATCAAACACCTTTTCTCTCTCGCAGTATTCATGCTTCGACTTCCTCTACGACTCCTGGCATCATCACGACTCGTCAAGCACTAAGACCTCCATCGTCAGCAACGGACCACGTCAACCACCAACTACTTCCGCCACTACTTCAAGACGACAACCACACACAAACTCTCCACGTCTTCACGTCTACTTACCTTCTACCAGTTTCCGAAGAATCAGGATGTTGTAAGATCATTTCGTAGAATTGTATAGTTTTTTTCTTTTTTCTTCTTACCTTAGACTTGTATAGTGCTTTTTCTTAGTATTGTTTTTGTTCTTTGCTATGTCTACTACTGATTTTTCTTCGTGTTGTATGTACCTCACTTCCCTCTTCATATTCTTGTCTACGAAACAAACACAATACAATTGTCTACACTCGGTGGCGGGGAGGATGCAAACGGCAAATTCCTGCGTTTCCATACCTTTCGTCGTCGTGCGGAGTGTCATGACTTCCCAGTCATGATAAAGACTGGTCCCCTAAATACCCTAAGGCTAAGCCCTGTTACAACAAACAAGTGCCGAAACATGGCATATACATTTTGAATTTACCGCGTACAAACTACAACCAATTCCAAATTGCCATGCCCACCGGACCGCCTACTAGCACAGGTATATATACCGCCCCCTTCTGGGAGGTATAAAGAGCGCGCTCCGGGCGGCAGAGGCAGTCTTCCACTTCGGTGTCACCTTTAGTTTAGCCTCTTTCAACTCTTCTCTCTTCCTTCTGGGGCTCTGCCCCTCTCGTCAAGCGATTACGGTCGCACACCATCTACCCTAACCTTTACAACTACGACACGACGATTCTATGCCAGTCGGACTCGCCACTCGTTAAGACGACAAGATGACTTACACTCGGACACATAGCCTAAGGACAACAATACGAGATGTAGTAATGTACAACGATAACAACTTCTATCCTCTCCTGTCTCTTCTCCATTGTGTGTTTGATCATAGTTGCGTTGTAATTAATAAATGATTTATTAAACACCTTGTAAACTACCACTGAATCAAAACACCAAGTAAGCTGGCAGTTTTGTGATCGTCAGCGAACACATCGCCCGAGGTTTATCCCTCTAGATAAGATTAAGACAGTTTATCCGATTTTTCCCTCGCAACGGGGAATCGATGGCTGGTTGTCGATGTTCTGCTGTCGCCGATTATCGCCGTTAGTTGTCCAGCATGTTGAAGGGAAAAATGGTAACGTCTCTTTTTCTATGCATTACAACTACAACTGTTGTCTACATGTCTGTATATTCAGTGCTAAACCCTTAGAATACAGAAACGACCCTTTGGCTGACACTGATGAAGTAAAGGGAGATGACAGGAACCTGTCGCGTGCTTTTTTTTGCATCACATAACATTATGAATACTCAGGCTGGACTAAGACCTTCGCGATATTTGATCATGTGCTTTTCGTTACCATTGCTCTCTTTTTCATACTTTCTATAGCATGCTGTTGCTTTACTCTCTACTGTTGTGTGTTGTAGGTATAAGCAAAAAGTTGAAGCACTTCCTCAAAGAATAATGTAATGCTTCCAACACTGTTGTGATCTTCTTTAGGGCAGATCGCTGCCTCTCAGTAGCTAATGCGCACTGAACGAATTGAAGGTGTCTCGATTCGTACTGCCTCAAAGAAAGTTTCATGGATCTATCTTCTATTTCGGAAAACGAGAAGAGCGTCGAGTGCAGACCACACACCACAAATGACGACGGCCAAGAAAAAGCCACTTTTCTCTGGCCGTCGTCACTTGTGGTGTGTGGTCTGCACTCGACTCTCTTCTCGTCTTCCGAAATAACGAGTACTACTGGTTTAGAGTGGAGCTCTGACATTGTAGCACTTATCCAGTAGTTTAGTAAGAGCACCTTGGAACATATTGTGCTGAAACTGTTTGCAAATGTACGGAAATTACAGCAGAACAAATAGAGCTGCTTATTAGTAACTATTTAATTTCTGAAGTTAATCAGGGATTGGATGGGAATTTAAAACGCCTTTCATACATTGATTTATTGTTTCGTTTATGTGGAGGATAACATTGTCCTCAACTGTTTATTTATTCATGAATTGCGCTTGAATAGTGCGCATGGGAACGGAATGCAGGGTCGTATGCTATGTTCTCCGTCTAGGGATGGAGAATCTTCAAACTGCACCCCTTCATATTTCATGTATTTCAAACAGGGTCTGCCCAAGAAGAGCGTCTTATATGGCATGCGTCTCTGTGTGAATTAAATGTGCTGAGCAAATAAATAAAGGAAAAAATGGAAAACAAGTAATTTGAAATAGATAAGTGCCATCTCCCTTTGGGAGGGATGGGATAAGACTCCACGAAATGAAGTTTTTTGCAACCATTTTCTAACCTTCCAATGAGGTTTTGTGCTAGATCACAGTTGTTTCTGCTATATGTCTGACGGGCCTCAGTGAGGTCATTTCCTGTTTATGATGGTATTTGTTACCAATAATGAAGAAAACTTTTGCAGAAAACGTCTATCAGGATCCACACCAACACATGATGTCGCACATTCAGTCGGCTCCCTCGTTTCGCGATCAAGACGACGGTGGACCGTCACTTTTGCAAACGAACTCCATGCATCCCGGCTTTAGGTTCGTTTCAGACTTGTGTGTGCTTTCCAAGCCCGTTCATACTTCTGTCGTAGTTCGCTCGCGGCATATAGATACGTTCATTCTTTGATTCATTTCACAATCGTGTCTTTCTTGCTGACAGTTTCACCATGGTCGAAATACATGGTTATTGGAACAATTTGAGTCTTCAAAAAGCTCATTACAAAACAATCCAAAAACTGCAAACCAGCAGATGTGCTTTAAACTGAGTTTTCGATGTGCAATGTCTTCCTGAGCTATTAGTAGCTCAAGCTCGTTATTTCTTGGGTAGCTCGAAATGCCGGCCAGCATATACACTGAGTTTCAGAAGTATAAGGGCACCCCTAAAAACTGCTTTTCCGAGTTAGGGTGATGGCTTCATGGCTTGCTAGAGCTGGCTTCATGGCCTACTTTATTGAGTAGCATGCTAAGCTATAGTCGCTATACTCCATTTAATTTAGGCACAGTTGTGACGTAGAACATTTTCTTAAGAAATTTTGGAAATCTTTCCGTTTTCCAAAAGTATAAAATCAATCTGGGTAAGCGCTTTTAGCCCTGAAATTTCTTCGTCCTTTCGGTTCGTTTACGATTTCAAGACCCTGCTTAGTGAAAGCACATTCTCAAGAGATCTGGGCGATTTAAGTTTCCCACTATAGAGTAAACTCGTTCGAATGACAAATGCTTCATAGCTGCCCAAGCTGGCCAATCTTTTGGCTGTATTAACAGTTTCATAAGAGGTGCAGTTTCTGTGGGAATAACAGCATCTTTGGGAGGCCACAGGTTCTGTTCATATAGTACATCATAGCCAGCAATCGCTTTATCGCCGGTTTCACCACTTCAATCAGATACATTCGGCATAAGCTGCTTCCGCTTTCTGCATCAAGAATCACCATCTGGAAAGCTGTCAATTCATCTCCAAGTATTGTGTGAGAGTCCGTTGTGAAAATTCCGATTGGGTCAGCGCCGCAAAACGGCTCGCCTCGCTTTAGCTCGAGGAATCGAGTTGGCTCCTAGATGGCCTGCGCTGCATTGTGCAACAGTGTAGTATTCTCTCTGACTGATGCATCGTGTAGAATGGGCTCCATCGACTATGAAAATGTTCTTGCTTATGATTTACCGCCATTCCTGAGCGAAGATCACACGGTATAATTTCACCTTCAGTAACCACAACGATGCCATCCCCTGCAGCCGACCGCCCAACAGCGGTTTAGCGCCAACAAAATCAGTGTTTTGGAATGGCCTCCATTTATTTATTTATTTATTTATTTATTTATTTATTTATTTCTATACGTCCAGTGGACGCGCTTGGACAGAGCATATTCGAATAGAAATACTATCAGACGCTAAAAAGGCAGCAGTCGTCCTCAGTTGAGTCACAATAATTGATGGGTCAACGTCCGACTTAACCAACTTGTAAAGGAAAAACGAGAGAGGGGGCAGTTCAAAAGATTCCTTGAGTATTTTTTTGAACTCTGGGTCATACACTAGGTTGATCAGTGAATTTGTGTACAGATTTGGAAGTAACAAAGAGCATTGCCATGAGCCATAAGGTTAGTGCCTCAAAGATAACCCTACTGCGAGGCCGCAGCCCTACTAGGGGCAATCACCTCTTTGATCTAAATACGAACCCTAAAATTGTTTTCACTGATACTGCGCCTGCAAATACCCATTTTTGGAACAATTTGAAATGAACAACCGATTAATTAATTTAGTTCGACCTGAATTCCATATAAAACAGTTGCAGAATTTGTGAGGCAGAACTTTGATGATGTGAAGCGGTTAACTATTGTAGAAGATCGGGTGTGCTGTCGGCACATAGCGGTGCTATCTGGACGCTCTTTCTCTATAGAAAGTCAAGTCGTCCATGTACATTGAAAGCGTGGTGTGCTTTCACTATGTATGCCTGCAAAATTGAAAATGGACCGCAAAGCAGAAAAGATTTCACTTGAAGGGTGCCCTTGTACTTCTAAAACAGAGGGATTTCTAAAATGTCCTAAAAGAGATTATTTCTTGGTAATATTAATCTGTCACATCAAGTGGTCCACTATCAGTGCAGACTCTAGTGTAGGTACTAGCAATAACCTTCACCCACTCGAAACAGCAGTTCTTGGATATGCCGTTGTTCTTTTGTAACGCTGTCTGTTGGATTGCCCACTGTTGCCAAAGGATGAATAGAAATGGGTTCTGTTCTCTTGAGATTTGAGCAGAAGTTTTGTCGTGAATTTTAAATTGCTTCAGCTCACGATTGACATTATTTCCCTTTGTTCACGAGACCTGCGTGGATGAAGCGGTCTGCTAGTTTCGAACTCATCGCTTAATCTTCTTAGCTTTTCATACTGTTGATTGTAATTGTCTTTGAAACGCATTGGAGGTATTTGATAGAACCGGGGAGCGAAGTTCGTTCTCATTATAAAATTCCTCAGCATCTGTTTAGATTAGCTAGTAGATTCTGATCAGTTGACAGAAGTCACGTACGGTACTGTATGATTCATGAATCAGCAAGAAAACATCAAGGGCATCATGAGTCAGACGTTACGGTTGATCAAGGCGTGTTCATTTCGGCTGTTGTTTTGCAGAAAATCATCTCATTGCGTGCAAGGGAACGCTGCGCTTAGTCAGCAGCAGAGACGATCATCTCAAGGTTCAAGTTCATCGTCTAGCGGACCGTGCAATGTGTATTCTCAGGTCAGTGGAGTTCTCCTTTCTGTCAGAGTGAGCCAATCATTTACACAGTAATCGGGGATCCCACAGGGATACGATTTTTCTTCATATGAAGTCACTATTATACTGAGTGTCAACATTGAGCCCATTTTCAGCAGCAAACGGCAAGCCCATCTCGTATCGCTCCCGGTCCTCCTTCAGCTCCTCCAGCTCCACCCGTTCCCATCTCAACGTCGTCCTGTCCTCCTGCTGCGCCTCCACCACCACCAGCAAGTGGTGCTCCTCCACCACCTCCTCCACCTCCACCAAATCTTTTGAAAAGCGATGCTTCTCGAGGAGTAAGGTGGGTTGTTGTTTATTTACTAGCACTGGTAGAATCGAACCATGGAAGTGATGAAAGATTATTTTCGAAAATAATAGTTTCAGCCTTGTGGATCAGCTTCAGAGGTGCACAACTGAAGAAGACAGGTGCAGCAAAGGAAACCACGTTCAGTCTCCATCGCAGATCCATCTTCGGTTTCAGGCGCTAGTAGTGGTAATACTGTTTTGTGATTGAATTTTTCGCAGCCCTGTTTCAAGACAACAAGATACGCTTCAGTGGCTGGATCCTCTCATGGTGATCTTCTGTCGGAACTTCGCCGCTACATTCAACAGAAAAAAGATTACCCAGGCAAAAGCGGATGCGGCCGACTCGAAATCCAACGCCAGCAACGGTAAGCCGTGATGTTTGCATGCGTAAAACGAAATGGTAGGATTAGCCAATACGACATTTATAAGGTTCATCGGATAGCGGATGTGGGACAATCCCACCTGTCAATGGTTTTGCTGCGCCAAATACTGGAAATGTGCCGCGCAAATGGGAACCTGTGAAAACAAATGGGAGTACCGAAAGTCCTAAAACTCACAGAAAGTGGGTTTCATATACATTCATCTCCGTTAACCTATTATACTTTAATACGTTTCCGTAAAGAAATTTTTAATGAACGAAATTTTCCAGAGTTCCGTCGGGATCCTCGATTTCCTCGCAAGAAGAGGTGAAGGCGAATGGAACGTTAGTGGCAGGAGCAGTGATAACTCCAGAATTTCTCGAAAGGTACTCTTCTACTTATAGGATTAGTTCATTCACCTTCTTACGGATTACGTACGAAATGACGGCAAATGAAAGTAGGGAAGTAGCCAGATTACGGATCGTAATGTCTTCGAATATTCTCGATGGTAGTATGTGGGACGTGCTACCCCCATTCAGGAATCCTTTCTAACGGTAGTTCAAATTCGAGCGCATATATCACCCTCGTGAAACGTCTATGCGCTGTGCTAGAGCCCGGTTTGCCGGAGTCCTCTTCAAGACCGTTGTCTCTTATTCCCGCAATTTTCCCCTTACAAACTACGAATGTGATGCTTTCATGCAAAGCAGCTGTGATATTCTTTTCAATACAAGATTACCCTAGGCTCTAGCGGAGTTGATGAATTTCTGCGGATATTATATCACACTCGTCTCGAAAAGTCTGTTGTTTGTAGCGCACCCATATATCTTCCCGAATTCGTGCTCGCGGGAACAAATTATTCCTCGGCACATTTTTTTTCTAATCAAGGTTCTGGTCATGGCTTTGAAACGGATAGCGACCAAAGATGTAGCCCTTTTATTCCCGCTGATACACATACAGCGTTCTGAAAACCGCCTATCGGATGCGAAGAAGATCAGACTTCTAGGCAAGACTGATATCAGATTTGACTAGAAAGAATGAATATTCAAAGTCAAACCCCGGAATTAGGTTGGCTAGTAGGACCCGCGCCGCGAGTAAACTTGTTGGATCCGTATCTACAGAAATCGTACCAGCTTCGTCGTAAAAAAAATTCGCGGTGAGGGCGTTAATCGTTAATTACTTGCACCCATCGCAACGCTTCACACCCACCGCGATTGATGCGGAGTCAGCGTGGTCCCTCATACGGCGTGTTCGTTGATCTGTTTCTTCGTCGTAGCACATTCGACTTTGCTTTGGTTCTTCGAAGTTCACGCTCGTAATTCCAGCGTATTCGATGGCTTCGCCTGCTTTCTTTTCCACTTTTTCTTCACTCTGCTGCCACACTTTCACTACGAGGCAGGGTGAATAACGGTGGAGGAACTCCTCGACCATGGCGTTGTACTGGGTGTCCCCCAAGAGGCCCGTCGCGCGGCGAAGGAAGAGACGCAGACGCGGCAAAGGACGAGTCGCAGCGCATACTGTAGCGGTTAGGCGTCAGGTTAAATAGAGTGTACCATACTACGTCTCATATCGCACAGCACGCGCTGCGACTCGTCGTCTCTTTGCCGCATCTGCGTCTCTTCCTTCGCCGCGCGATGGGCCTCTTGGGGAAAACACCCCTCTTGGCAGAGTCAACCCTGCGTTGCGCAGTTCTCAACGGCCACGTTGCGCAGTTTCGCCCGATTAGACACGTTCTCTCGCGCGAACATTCACACTCGCATGCTCGAGCCGTCTGCGTCTCCGCCCATACAGCGTGCGTTGAGGATCTCTCAACGTGCCGTTGCGAACTGCGCAACGCAGGGTTGACTCTGGCTGTCCTGTGAGAAGTAGTGCCGAGAGTGAACGTACGCGCGGAGAGCACAGACGGCTCGCGCATGGCGAGTGTGAATGTCGGCGCGGGAGAGCGCAACTGATCAGGCGAAAATCCTCGACGAGCCGTTGAGGAATCCTCGACCGATATTCACCCTGCTACGAAGCGCTCTTACACACCAGTTCACGCCCGGAGGCTCATTGCCTTCAACCTGACCTGCATGTCGCTCACGGATAGATCCAGGTATGGGTGGGACTGGCTCAAAAACGTGTCGGATTGCTTTTGTCAAATGCGTTCAAATGTGTTCCGGTTAACACCAATAACTTGCGCTTTGAGTAGATGCTATATTTGTGCGCATTTCAATGCTGATTTCCGGTAGCAACTTCCACTTTCTGTTGGGTATTGCATATCGTCAAGAACGCGCATTATAATGCGATGCTTTTCAGGTTCAAGGCCGACCTCATGGTGGAGATGCGTCTAGAAATTAATAAAGCGAAGCAGGACATCATCGAGGCGTTCCGACTCGAACTAGCTCGTCGATAGATGTCTGAGCTTGGCACTTCCCTGCAGTATTTAAGAATATGTGCGTAATCGCATCGCTACTTTGCATTTGGCTATTGGTGTTCAACGCGGTGCTCCTCGTGTGTCGTCCATTCTCTGCAAACATAACCTGTGTGTGTTTTACTGAGTTTGAGAGTTCATCGTCTCTAAATAGTTCTACGCCATTTATGCCCATCTGTGCTTCGTTTATAGGAGCCGATAGTTGCTTTAAGCCTCTTAGGAGAAGGGGAATTCAGTAGTTGTTGTCGTGTGGCAGACAACAAAGGCCTCTATGAAAGTGTCGTATGTGTTGAATTTTTTGTTGAATGTGGCCTATTTCTACTGCCGTTACAATGGCTCCTCAGTCCTCAGTGTTTGTGTGATGATCATGTTTCGGCTTCCTCTCACCGGCTGCCAATTCTGGCTTTCTACATAATTCACGCTGTCTACTGGTGACTTCCGCTGAATCGTCTAAACCATGCTCCAACAAGATTTTCCTGCCCCCAATTTTGACGGTGCTCTCCGTCGTCATTTAAATTCGTGATTGATTAACAGTGCAGTACGCGAGTGACGCGCCTTACATCCCCTGTACATATAACTAAGCTCTCTAATCAGTGCACTCGCGTTATTGCTCATCCCCATGCCCCCCCCCCTCTTTACATTCTGTTGCTCTTTCGTCCCTCAGTCCGTCCGAGTTCATTCCACTCAGAAATTCAGTTGTTATCGGAAACGACTTAATGTAGTCTTTGTGAAGTTTCACCCAACATATTTATTATAAAAATTCGAATAAATGTATCATGTGAGTCTTTTTTTGCTGTCTTGGGACCTGAGCTTGAAGCCTGCATAGCGTTTTCTTGAAAAAAGATCTTCAAAAATGCAGTGGTGTTGTCGGGCCTCATAAATTTCTGTATAGAGTTTATGGGTTTCTTTTACCAAAAATGACTGAGGTTTTATCCTAAATTCAAAATGCGCCAATTTGTTAACCAGAAGTGAGTACTCCAATAGATAAAAGTCCAAGTTTTAGCCAGATGTGCATAGTATAGTAGCATTAATCAAACTATTCTTCACCGTAATTGACGCAATCCTGCATTCAGTTTTACAGGCACTTTCCATGATCAAATTGCTGTGCTAATTCTGCTTGCAAATGATTGGTATAAATTGGACCAACCGAGAGAAAAACAAGGGAATTCTATGGAGATCCTTTGAATAGAGCTCTTGAATAGCAGCAGCCGGGAAGGGGGAAGGATGTGCTTGGACGACTTCTCCAAACTGCCAGCTCTGCTTCGGTGCTCGCCTTCAGTTTCATGTTTGGGGTTAGGTTACCGGCGGGGGCCCGTCGTGTCGGCAAGAAAGCATGTGTTAGCGGTACGTGTCGCCAGCCGTGTGCGCACTGATGGACTATTGAGAGCGTACAAGGCGCTACTTATATTTTAAGTTTGATGCGAAATCATTACAGCGCGTGTGCACTCGTTCCGATGATCCCCTTAGTACCAACGCGTAACGGAGCTTCCCTGCTTCGGGTTACGGCTAAGGGTTACCTTTATCACATGTAAATGGTGCGACAGTGGGCACAAATGCTGTCAGGGTTGTGGCTTGATGCGGGAGGCGAGGTTCGCGGACGAGGAAGAGTTCTAGGGGACCGTGTCGTGCACGTTCAGGCTACGGGAATGGCATCATCTCAAACGTCTGTTTCCAATTCCTTGTCATCATGAAAGGTAGAACAACTCAGCAAAGAGCAGTACTTTAAGGAGAAAATGTGATGTCATGTTCGGAAAAACTATTCATCCTTGACAACTATATGAGAGCCATCAAAAAGCTGTTGTTCTTGAATCGATCTTATGACCGCTGGGTTGAGCTGGTATTGGGTATGCTGGTTTCAGCGCGATTGTAATGGCTGTGATAAAAAAAAAACAAGTTGTGAATAAACTCCCGAACAACTCCATTGTGTAATAGAGCAATTCGTGCTTTTATATGGCTGCCTAAAAAATCATACGGCGCGTAGATTCCAGCGGAAAGAGTTATCATGTGCTAGTTCCATATGCAAGTTCAATTTTGGTGAACGGTGTTGTATTTTGGACCCAATCTTAAAACCTAAGTGGAGTCCTAATAAGTTGGGCGATGCTCAGATTTATAGAAGCTTTCAGAGTGCTTTTACCATTTTAGCGACAAATTTAGATTTGTTTTCGTCAGTATAATTATGGTTCTCTGGATAGAAATAAGTCGAAACCAACAGATTTTGCGAAATTCGAGGTCGGTCGCGTCTCTTGCTGTAATTCAAACTTTTTCCTTTCTGAATTGAATTCATTGATTCCAATCATATCGGCGAGAGAGCAGCGCTGTTCCTCTCAATCACATAAATTCTTCCGGAGAATCCCCCACGTCTTGAGACCAAATCAAAGTGGAGTTAAGTTCAGCAATTTCGACGGATTGACTTCTAGAGTCCTAATAGAAACCTCTCGCAGGAGAAAGATTTTCTTTCCAAGACAATCTAGCATATGCTACAAAGCATCTTGTTGATTTCAATGACTTTTAGTGCTTCTCAATGTACCGGTTTTTAAGAAACTTATGGCCATTTGAAGGACTAAAACTCGCGTTTCAGGAGAATGGCCTAAAAAGTCTTGAGGGAAAAAACGGAACAACGGGACGATTTTTCGAAAGAGTTTTTTTGGAAGCGCCAGCCTTTTAGTTTCCAGTTAGCCTTATAATTCAGCAACGGGTCAATGCAACAGGAGTTGTTAACGTTTCAATGATGAAAACTCGCGAGTGCACAAAAGAACGGAACAAAGGGACGTTTTTTTTAAATTGAATGTTTGCAACAGTTCAGAAACTTTAGAAAGAGAACAGAAAGAAGTTTTTAAATCTTTGTATCCCGCCTCGTGGGCCGCTTCTGTAGGAAGATATAGCTTAAATGAATGAGGTTCAGATCGTAACGTAATTGCTGTAAGGTTAACTTATTCAGCATAAAAAGGAGGCTGGGAGTTCGAAAAAAAACTTGGTAGGTTTCTGAAAGTGCAACTCTCTGCGGTTACTACCATGCCCAAGTTTACGCAAAAATTTGGAAGCTGCGTCTATTTAATGAGTGAAATTTCATGTTGCCTCGATAAAGGGTTAATAAAATTCCCTGCTCCACGATCGGTCGGGTCATGTTCTCGTAAAGTACACTGGTGTGCAAAACTTAGGGACGAACGTAGCTTTTCCAACGACGTGTTACTGGCGCGTAACATGACTCTATGGAACCTAACCACACATACAAAGAGCTGCCACAGGGCACTAAAGAAAGCAGTTAACAGGAACCGTTAAACGGTCCACAAAGCTATCAAAAGGTTATGATACTTCATCTGTCTCGTCCTTAAGTTTTGCACACCAGTGTAAAAGTAGGCGGCAATCATTTTATCATTGTTTAACCACTATGCAAGAATGCTGAGTTATGAAAAAAACTGTTGCAGGACGCGGGACTCGAATTGCGCATCTCGCGTTTACCGGGCAAGTGTGCTACAAGCTACGCTATCGAGGCACCTCATTCTAACTCAGCTTTTCAATGTGTTTACCATAGCTTATCAACT